TTATTAAATTAGATTATTTCACATCAGAATTCAATAGAATTCAATCCCACATTCACTTAAGTGGCATGAATGTGGTTCTAAATCCACTTCCAAACATGGTTAAGATTTGGTTAGTACACAATATATAGTTCCCTTACCATAGTTTGCCTGACCAGCTGAAGTCTAGACAAAATTACCAACCTTTGACTCATCTTCAGAGTGGCCTTTATTACAGATTGGTATGCATTTAATAGCTGTTTGGCATAAATATGACACAGGTGTGAAACACCTGGTTTCATTGTGTTCTTGAGTGCATTAAATCATGTAACTGGCTTCTCTGAGCCTCTTTATCTTCTTTACATTACTATATGAAGAATGATAAGATGACTTAGTTTCCAAACTGAATGTGTTTGTGTCATGGTTTAACCCCAGCCGGCAACTAAGCCCCTCGCAGCTGCTCGCTCACTCCCCGCCCCGGTGGGATGGGGGAGAGAATCAGAAGAGTAAAAGTGAGAAAACTCGTGGGTTGAGATAAAGACAGTTTAATAGGGAAAGCAAAAGCCGCACACGCAAGCAAAGCAAAACTAGGAATCCATTCACTCCCTCCCATCGGCAGGCAGGTGTTCAGCCATCTCCAGGAAAGCAGGGCTCCATCATGCGTAATGGTTACTTGGGAAGACAAACGCCATCACTCCGAACGTCCCCCCTTTCTTCTTCTTCCCCCAGCTTTATATGCTGAGCATGATGTCGTATGGTATGGAATACCCCATTGGCCAGTTGGGTTAACTGTCCTGGCCATGCTCCCTCCCAGGTTCTTGTGCACCCCCAGCCTGCTCGCTGGTGGGGTAGTGTGAGAAGCAGAAAAGGTCTTGACTCTGTCTAAGCACTGCTCAGCAATAATGAAAACATCTCTGTCTTATCACCGCTGTTTCCAGCACAAATCCAAAACATAGCCTCATACTAGCTTCTGTGAAGAAAATTAACTCCACCCCAGCCAAAACCAGCACAGTTTGTATCAGTTTCCCTTACTCAGTTGGCTCTTAGAATGCCAGTGTTGTCAGAAAAAAAAATGAAGTGTAGCCACGTAAAACTGTTTCGGCATCCATTCATGTATCTCAAGGAACAGATATAGAGCAAGTTGTTCAGATACCACGTATGTCTCACTGAATGTAAAATGAGAGTTCAGTTCTATTCGTGTCTGGCTGCCTTTGCTGTCGGGAGTGAATGGATGCGTAAGAGACAGGACCAGAAAATTAAGTCAAAGCATTAACAAGTCTTGATGTTTGCTGTTGTTTCTTCATTTCCTTTTTTCTCAAGTGCTTCCTTCATACCATTGTCTCTTCAGAAAAGCACATTCCTTTAGCATCTTTCTGACCTGCAGTTTTCATGTTCTTCTCGCATAAAATTTTTGTTTGTCTGCTTCATTGACTTTGGAAGACCTACAGAGTCTCCACAAAGTCCTTTCGAATGCACCCGTTACCGTTGGTGTAAGTGCCTGAGAATACACTACAGTCAAGTAAAAGAAGAGGATAAAAAATTTGTAAACTAGGGACTAAGATCATCGATGATTACTGAGAATTTGGACTTTACAGAGAATGAAGTAAGAATCACGTGTATCCCAGGAGAGGATGCAGTTGTGCTTCTTTTGTGGTGAGAACTTTGAAGAAGAACCTGCCCAAACAGGCAGTGGAAAAGTGCTTTCATGCTTTGATTGTGAATCACCAATATGTATAAACAAGTTTAGATAATGCACAACTGACATGTGTGCTGTGTGTTTTGGAAATTGTGGTTATTTTGGAAATCAAAAGGAAGTCTCAGAAGGAAAATTTCACAGTTCTTCCAGCTATTCTACTCTGACCTCATAGCTGAAACTCAAGGCTACTAGACTGAATTCGTCTGTTGTTTTACAAAGCTGTGATATTGCACACCAGGCAGTATGAAATCTTCACAAAAACACAGTAATGAATAGCGCCTTTCAGTGCATGTATAGCTAGAAAAAGCACAGATTTATCTCAAAAAGAGACGCTTAGTCAAAACTCTTGCTGAAAGAAACAAAATTGATAGAAGTCTTGCAATAGATTCAAATGGAAAGTATTCAGGAGGGGACAGATCAACTTTTGAGCAAGCAAATTATTTATATATTTGGAAAATATCCATCTCAACAGTAGAGAAGTCTCAGTAGGTTTAGAAATTCCAATCGGACAAGCTTGGAAAAGTTACTGTGGATTTCTTAGATTTGTTTGAGCTTTTTCTCTACTTTCAGTACTTGTTTTTCTTGTCTTCCTTCTCACTCCAGACAAACTAGATTTTCCCACCGTCTTTCAGTTTGCCACATTCATAATACATCCAGTTTTGGATCCTCCCCCTTAAATCTACCTTTCCAACAGTTTCTAACATCAAGAATTCCTCCAACCCTCAGAGGGGTGACCTGTCTATGGCTCTTCCATCTCTTTATATCTGTCATGCTGAAGAATATATCTTTGTTCAAAAGTTTTTCTCTTCAGTTTTTTTCCTCATCCTTCCTCTGATTTCACATCCAGACTCAGTGATTTACTGTTTACTTCTTTGTAAAATATATTTTCTATTCTAATCTAGATATTTGCTAGTCAGTTTATAGAGGCACCTTCAGAGCAGAGAGAAGTTGTTAGTTGTGAAAACACCTTGAAACACTTCTGTGAAGACAAGGATGGGGAGGAGAAAAGTCACTAATGGAATTATCTAAGAGCTCAAAGAAAAACCAGGAAAGTACATCAGGAAGATTTTCTTCAAAGGGCCCCACAGTGTGCTAATTTAATGCAGTTTCTAAGTGTATGGTAAATTTAAAAAACAATTACCCCAGCAAACCAGTGCTAATAAAAATTGGTTGTCAAAGTATTCAGATGTAGCAAAATTCTACTACCTTTTGTATGCATAGACGTTACTTAAAAAACAAGTAAATGAATGAAACTGCTGCAGTTCACTGGCATGACATTTACACATCTGCTGGTGGCGTTCCATTCTAGTATCCTTAAATTTTCAATGATTTTACCCAGTAACCTATTAATTATATATAAAAAAATTAGTAAGGAGGTCACATTCTTAAGCTATGATAGATTGTATTTGTCTCTTTTTCTCTCTCTCTATCATGCAATTTTTTTCAAAGTTTTAATAGAAATCAAATGTTGGGTGTTCTGCTGTCCTTTTAAGAACAAGTCACAAATCATTATAAAATAAAAGATTTTCTATTGACCACGTGCTCTTTCAAAGTTACAAATACCTGCTTTAATCAGACCAACAGTATTGTAAAATAGGTTTGTATTAGAAAGTTATCTAGTACATATGTACTAGAAATTTTATTTGTGAACAACTTATTATGTGTGAGAAATATATGTGAGCAACAAAGCTCTTTTGTTACAGTCACTCAAAATTTAAACAATACTTGTATTTCAAAATATTTAGTGAAATTTTTTAATGGAAAAACTTGACAAAAATAGAATATGGTATTTGGATCACTGATTATGGTTATGTTTGCCTCAGAGCTTCCTTTTGCAGAATTTTTCGATGAAGAACCCAGAAGGCTGAAAACATAAAGAATTTTCCATCACTTTATTGTTTCTCTTTACAGAATAATATTTTGGTTTGATTCATGAAGCTGATACTACAGTTTTGGTTTTATGATTTTATTTTAAACTAAGTTCAGCGATTTTTGTTGACCTGTCTTTCTGATAGTTTTGAAATCTACCAGTTATGCAAAAAAGAACTGTTTATTTTGGAGGAAATCTCTTAAACCAAAAATGTATATAACCCTAAGGGTAACATGCTATTGTGGTTAAGTGTCTTTCTTCCTATACAAATGTTAAATTAATGTAATTTATCAGATTAGATCTTGATTTTACACTAATGACATGGTTCACAGAGGATGTATTGTATTGCTTTGAATTAATATAAATTCTATAAAGAGAAAGAAAATGATGTTTTGAATAGCTGCCAAGACACTGTTGTTAGAGCACATGTTTTCAGTTTGAAAACATGTATGGAATTCATGTCAGCATAAAGTTGAGTCTGCAAGACAGTGCATTCAAGGATTAAACTGCTCTACAGTCCCAGTGAAAACCCTGATAATGCCAGTGAACTTCTGAGAAGGCAGTAAATTGTAGTTATTGGGGCACATAAATTCATCAGAGAATTAAATGTATTATGTTAGATGAGAAGAGAGTTAATCTATAGATGTCAGACATCAATTTTACATCTCTGTCATTAAATTTCATTAGAAAAATAAACTGGCATTAAATTATAGAACATTAGTAACTGAAGGGCAGTTTACACATGAATCATTGATTCACTACATGACTCAGAGTTGGTAATGGGAAGAAGTATTTTTACTTCATTTAAAGTCACCCATTTAAATCCAACCCTAGCCTAAAGTGACTCAGCCCTGACCATCTGACAGCCGTTGGGTGTTCAGCCGTGCGGTGAATCGATGGGGAAAGTGCAGTCAGTAGGCAAGTGTAGGAAACTCACCACTGTAGACTCTTGTGGTCATGGCAGGGAAGTTAAGGATTACGTGAGCGTGTCATTTGAACTAGCCATTTACTGACAAACTTTGGAGAAGAGCATGTCGTTTCTTTAGTCCCTGTTCATGAAAGAAAGATCAATCCGCCCATCAATAGTTGGGTGTGCTTGAAACCTGTGAATGGATGTACAGCCACGTGTTGCCAATACTATGAGAAGCATTCAAACTGCAGATCATCCTGTCTACAGGGGGATTTTGAATTATGTAGGCAATTTTCTAGTGTGGATAAGATTTGAAAGCACTGGGTCGTTCAGCTGTGGCAATAGTCTTACATCTGGTGTGGGTCTAAAATGCACCTCTCAGGAGCCCTGTTTTACTCTCCTGTTGTCTTCAGCAGGTAGAATGTTGCATTTATTGAATTAATTCTGCTCCTACAGCTCTTCAGCAGACCTAGTATGTTATTGTTAGGTTGTTAGAGTGGTTTTCCTTGCTATAAGAGAGATTTACAGCTCTATTTTTTATTTTACAGATAACCATTCAGAGGGACAGTGGTTTGGATGTTAGCTCCCCCAAACATGGAAAAGTGGATCCAGACAACATGCCACATGTTGGTGGAAATACTTGGGCTGGTGGAACAGGTTTTTCATTCTTTTTTTTTTTCAGTGCATCATTGAAGGATGTCTAAAGGAGATGCTGTGCCAGTCAAAAATGGATTTATACAAGGCCACCCTCTGCTTAGAGCTATTTTACTCAATACAAGGTCGCTTTATTGCCAGTGAAAAGAAGTATTTGCAGTATAAGTGCACTTAAACTGTATATAGCGGATCTCTACTTCAATTACATTTTGTTGTTGTTTCTTTTCATTGGCCATATAGAAAACCAGAAGCTTGCAGCCATAGAAACTAGGCTGAATCATTTGCCATTCTCTTAGATGTCTCTGTAGCCGCAGCAATTTAGGTAGTGTAGGCAAGAGGCACGCAGAATAGGCAAAGTGCCTCCTAATTCTAAAAGGGCATGATAGTGATTGCTAGATAAAGTGGTCTGGGAACAGTGTAACCCAACAAATTCTAGGGAGAAGACAGAGTCTGAATGAATGGCTTTAAGGACCGGGAGCTTTAAGGAGATGTACAAGACTTACATGATCTATGGTCCCCTTTGTACAAGGTGGAAACCATTATGAATCCGGTCTCAAGGGACTATAAACACAAGTGTTTTATTGGAGTTCTTCTTAACCGTCATAGCTGTTTGGTTTTGAAAATCTTTGGTAATAAATATTTCTACTGGGGATTGTTGGCAAATTCTTTGGAACATCTGTAGATGTGACAAAGGAAGCTTTAAAGAAAATGCGTTCTTATTTATTACTGAATGCGTATTCTTAATTATTTTTTATCTCAATCATGTTAGGTGGGAGAGACACTGCTGGGTTAGGTGGCAAAGGTGGGCCATATCGACTGGATGCTGGCCACAGGGTTTACCAAATATCTCAAGCTGAAAAGGATGCGGTTCCTGAGGAGGTTAAGAGAGCAGCTCGAGAGATGGGTGAAAAGGCCTTTAAACAGAGGTAATGTGAAAGTCTTTATTTTCTTTTCCATTTCCCAGAAGAATTTGAAAAAGATGGCTAAAAAGAATTTTCTTTCTCAACTGTATTTATCAACTACCTTACCCTGATCATTATCATTTAACAGAGCTTACCAGCATGTGTTTAACTGTTCTGGACAAGATGTATAGAATGTTTTATTGAATTAAGCCACACTGTTAAAATGACTGTGTGATTTGGTAGAGTAAAACATAACTAGGTGAATAAGGAGACTGATGTGAATATTTGTCTTTTTTAAAAAGGGATCTACCATATGAAAATTTCTTTGAATTATGATGAATCCAGATTGTATGTTGTTAGAAATTCATCAGCTAACAAATGTCTTTCGAAATGGACCATTACAAGCAAATTGCTTGTGTTTGAAAGACCTATAGCCAAATAGTGAGATGATTTGAACTATTAGAGCTCAGCAGAGAAAAAACAGAGATCTTCCCAGCATTAGTGTAATGCATGGTTACTAATCAACTATTTCCCAGACTGTGCACAGAGATTCAGATTTCTTCCACTGACTGAACTCTCAAGTCAAACTCTGGTACTTTGCATAAAAAAATCAAAGTGTATTGACAGCCATACCAACTGAGTTTTATGTTTCAGCCCAGGACATATTGCAATGTGAGTATCTGTCTTTAAGTAGAGAGTACCAGACACAGATTAAAACATCAGAGCAAATAAAATTAGAAGCAGCTTAATCAGCTCACATTTTGTTCCTATTAACAAAGTGATTCCAATAGGGGGCAAATGTGGGTGCTGTGAGGAGCAGGTGAGATTGCCATTTGCTTCAACTGATGCATAAATAATTAGGCTGTTAAGCATAAAGCACACACTGTACATGAATCACTGTATTTAGAAACAGCAGTTTATCTGTTGCATTCAGGTGAAGTTTATTTTTTAATCATTATTACTAAATTACCTGGAGCATTTAACATTGCTGTTAGAGCATTAGTGATTAACAAAGACAGGGAAAATATATAGATTATGTCAGTGCTTCAAAGGAGAAGACCCTGAAAGGCAAAATACCTTTTAATGGTGCTTTAATTTACACAAGCAACTTACAGAAATTTAAATTAAAAACAGTCACTTAAGGTTTTGTTTTCAGCGGGATGGCAGAGCTTGTTTTGTCTTTTTTCCTGGTGCTTTATGGGGGGTAAGTGGGGAGGACTACTTTTAACCCTTTCTACATCCCCATTCTTCAGAATTGCTTATCAGTTGATTCATAATAGAAACAATCAGTATGTATGGTCTTGGATTCTGTACATCTCTTTGTGCATATACACATGCACATACATGGCATGCTCTGATGAGTTTCTACCTGCCTGTATGGTGATTTACAAAATTCGTGCTAGGGGAAATTCCTGGATACTGCTACGTGTTGTGGAAACAGTGCAGCTCTGTCCTGTAAAATCTGTGTATCTGTACATGAGATAACAACTCATGTCCTGCTAAAACCAGTGAGCTGGCATGTACCAGCTGTAAATGTAGCCTGTTCTGAAGCCACATTTGACTTGGATTATTATTCTGTACTTCTTGGATAGTTGTGGGAACTAACAGATAAAAGTTAAGAATAAGGAGGTTGGAGTCCTCAGGCTGATGAAAAAAAAAAAAAGGAGGACTGCAGATTTCACTGCTTTGTTTATACATGATTATCTGGAAGGGAGAATTTTAATATGAAAGCCATTGATTGCTTTCCTGGCTAGAGAGTACTTCTAGTGGAAAACATTTTAAATTGCCCTATTTCACTAGAATGAAGTTAGCACCTGCTCTTGAATAGATACAGTATTTTTCGTGGTATTTTTCTGAACTAGCTTTCATTGTGGATTGATACAGAGTCTTAACAAAGTAAAACTGCATGTGAGGTTTTTTTTGTTTGAAACAAAATGTTTTCTTCATTGATGTGAAGATACTGAACTCCATTGGCAGGATCCATGAAATAAAGTGTACAGCACTGAAAGTTACCTTTTCCTGCCTCTAATGAATAATAGTTGGCTATAATGACTATGTCTATGCAAAATTCAAAATAGAAAAAGACATGGTCATACTAAAAACAACAAAGATCTTATGTTTGATTTTAATATTATCATTAAAGGGCTAGTCTAAACAGCAATTCTCATGTATACTGTATGTTCCAGGCAAGTAACTTGTGATGGTATTAAAAAACTTGTTGTTAGAAATACAACTAGCCTATACCTACTTTACTATCCATTTGTAGTTCATTTAAAAATCAGTATTTTCAAAACAGTGTGAGTGAGGTTATGCTGTTATGAAGTGCTTGTCTGAAATGAGCTGTGCACAGATAGGCCAATAAGGACTGAACCCAGCCACGTGCCGGGCGGTAGGGTGGCCAGATACACAATTGCTGCCTTGCTACATGACGCTGGGTCAAGGAAAATATCAAATGATGCACACTCCCAGCATATCCACCTGTCCCCTAGCTCGTTCTTCACCGTTAGACCTCTGTAATTACATTCCAGTTGTGAGTTTCACCAGTTTAAGACTATCTGCTTAGCTACAATGTTGAGAAGAATGATACAGAACTTTAAGTGGGCACATCTTAACTTATAGAAAAAGCATGTGTCTGTTTTTATGGTGCAGATGTTGCACGCTCTGTTAGGCCTCTGGACAGGATAGTGTTCAGTGACATGACTCATTTTTTTGTGGGGGAGCACATTTTTGTTAATGTTCATTTAAAACTTCTTTGTTTCAAGGTTTCATCATTTTATGAAGCAGAAAGATAGGTATTTGATACAGAGTTACTAGTTGTAGATCTCCAAGGACAGATTTTATAGTGTCTCTTTGCTTAACCTTTGTGTTAAAGCATGGATCGTGGTATGTTTAAAATACTCCGATGGTGAAGTAATGAATAGGCACTCATGATCCTTTTATGTACAGATAGCAACACCTGAGCCAATAAAACCTTTAGAATTTGATCACAGTTTTCAGAACATCTGATTTACTTCCCAAACGTTAAAGCAGATTAGGAGAGAGACAAAGGATAAGTAACTTTAATAAGTTTTAATTCTATGTAATCCCTGCAGGCATTGGTGATCACCTGCCTTGTCAAAAATTCACAAAAGCGGCTGCCACTTCTTTGTCTCTTGTGTGTGGTTATTACAGTCTGAATTGCCCTGTTATCAAGTAAATAAACTTGTAATTTACATACGTAAATGGATGATATGCTTGTTTCCTAAACTGCTCTTAGCTCCCTGTTCTTTGCTTTAGATTGAAAGAGATTCAGATGAGTGAATATGATGCATCAACTTACGAAAGGTTCTCTGGAGCAGTCCGACGTCAAGTTCAGTCACTCCGCATCATCTTAGACAATCTGCAGGTAATCTTAGATTCACTGATACAGGAACATGGTGAGCTTATTACATTAGGCCCCAAATACTATCCTGCTAATATCCTGTTACCATCTGATGATCATACTTTGAGGGCTAAAAGCAGATTCAGGTTATAATCATGGTTAGGAAAAACAGTCTCATATTACTATTTCAAAGGCAGCTTTTAAGTGGATCTCAGTGCTCGTCTCTACAAGTTACAGTATTCCCGTACCACAGCTTACAGAGATTATTTATTCAGGAGCGCAATTTTGTGAAAGCAAATACTATATGTTATTAAAAGAATATGTGATGGTGTGTAGAGCACAGCCTTTGTCTTTACCTGTTGTCCAAAAGATTTTTTTTTAGCTGAAAAGTGCAAGTGCTATAGATGTTACAAGAAACACCCACTCCAGGTGGATGCTTTACTGCATACGCAGCTGAAAACATGAATTTTTCTTAGGTTTGTTTTTAACTTTTGCTAATAAAAATAGGTATAGCCCAAATCTCCTCAGTGGAAGCTGACCAAAACCACCAGTTTGCCTTTATTCTAGTAACTGGTCTTGTGGTTGTTCCAGGTTTTATTAATACTAGTGTTCATATACGGGGTAAATAAAATAAAAAGTGCATTCTTTCTAGGAGGAATCTGCTAATCTTCAGTGAAAATTAAAGGAAAATTAATTTTACGCCTTATAAGACATCTCTGATTAAAAATATTTCTGTTGAAGGCTACCAACCACTGGTATACATATAGTTTACTAGTTAGTCACTGTGCTGTGTCTAATCTGTCTCCTTACTTCAGCAATAAAACTGAAATATAGAAAGAAATTACTTTGTATGATCGACAGACTCCTCCTGGGTCAAAAAATCCAATCCCCTGGTATTGCAAGTAAGAAAGGTAACATTTTTCTTTGCCTTACTTATATCTTTAAGCCGTTGTAACTACAACAACGCTGCTATAATCACATATATACTCAGAGAACCATTAGCCAGTTTTATTATGAATGTATCAATTCAGAGTTCATATGTTGTATATATGAATATATATATTTGATGTTCATATGATGAACATTTAAGTTCATTATATAGTTCATATAATGAACGTTTAAGATGGTCATGATTAGGTGATTCATGCACCTAATATGTGTTTCAGTTCAGGACATAGGCTTTTGGCTTGTAAAGACAGGTTTCAACTGAAAAAATTTAGATATAAATCTCAGTTTTTCCTACATCATTTATATCTAGGTGCTAGATGTTTCTAGTAGACATGCCATTGGAAGCACACTCTAGGTGTGAAGTGAGTAAGTGAATCTTCAGTTTAAAGTCTTGGTTTTTTAGTCTGCCTTATCTGTTCCTTGGAGCATAAATTCTTACATTCAGGGATCACGTTAATCATAATCAAAATATAACATATTTTAATATAAGGAGACGTATCCTGTTAAAAAGGTCATTTTAATATCAAGGCAAAGTCTTATAAGCCTCAGTATTTTATGAGACTTTGCTAACTTCCTGGCAAAATCTGTAACAGCTAACCACAGAGCTATTAAATGTACTTTATGATGAAAAAACAAACTCACTGAATTTGGAAAAGCTAGATTGTAGAATAAGAGCAATAATGAAAGCAAATTTTAGACTATAAATTTTTATACAGATTTTGGTAGGTTTTTTTATTAGAAGGTGCACTAGGAAAATGAAGATAAATGATAACAGGAGTTACGTAGTTGCAAAATGCTTTCTGTTAATTGGGAAGCTCAGTCCAAGTACGTTATCTTTTTGAGAAGAAAAAAAAGGTATTTGAATTCTTCAGCATGGTAAGTCATTCAACCCTGATGAAGGACTATGCCTCTGTCTCCCCTTTTTTCTGGATAGTCCTACGTACACCGTGGGTTCTCAGCTAAAACTGTTTTCTTCCTGTTATCAGTCAGACATTCCTCATTTCTCAAATAAGAAGTCAATGGCACAGTCAATTGCAGTAAACTTTGCAGGTCAGATGTCTGTGTGTTTTTAACTTTGTGAAAATCCCAGTGCTCAGTAGAGAACGCTTTTGACTTTTTAAAAATGTTTGAATTTGCTTTGTTTCAAACTCAACGTGTTCACATAACGGAAATATATTGTCCATATTTATTTGACCTGGTTTTTCTTTTCAACGTATGCCTTTTCATTGTTAGGTTTGTGGGTTTTTTTTAAAATATGTTCCTTTTGATTGAATTTTACGTCCCCAGAATCAAGAGGCTGGGATGCAGATCCAGTTGTTGAAGGCTCGCAAAAATTAGTAGCAGCAGAAGGAGATGTTTGGAATAGGCTGATCTTTGAAAGTGATATATAAATACAGTTTGAGAATGTAATTTCATTGTTCGTTTTACTTTGCATAACTCACTGATCTCTGTCAGCTCTTTGAACAACATTAACAAAACATTATGAGTTGTCATTTATCTTCTGTAGAAGTAGCGAAGTCCAGGAAATCCGGTCAATGGTGAGCTTTCTTTTCTCTCCTAATGCTGGCCAAACCCTGAATAAAGCTTGTCTGTCTGAACTCCAGATTCAAAAGCTTGTGGTCAGTCAGTCACTCAGAAAGGCCTTCTTAGATTTTAGATTACTTGCCTTCCAGAAAGTACTTCTCTTTTTATTGATTATTAGAGGGAATCTGGGGCAACTGTCCCTATAGCTTCTTAGCATCATTTAGGCACCTACATTTAAACTGGTCAAACCTGAGCCTGAGTCACCGAGCCTACTGGGGCTCTGTCTGATTTAGACAATGTGGGAGCTGTCTGGTCATAGCAAGAATAAAATAGTGGCAGTCCTATAATAAACATGGCTCAGAGAGCTGATGGTGTGAAAACCCTGTGCCTTGTCAGTAGTAGTTTTCTGATTTCAGCAGCCAAGAGAACATATTCATAATGTTTTCCCAGAAACAAATGCAGACCGCAACTGGCAGTATTTCATACCATCCTATACCATTATGAGTTACATATTTAGGTGTGAACACTTCACATACACAACTTTTTCTGTCATATTTACAGACATCACTGTTATATTTTGTAAATACGCCTTTGATATCTTAATAATTACTGCAGTGGTGTATTGTGATCAGCCATTGCCATGCTGATAAGATATGGGATCTAGCACATTTTTCTAATTTCAAAAGCAACACAATTGAATATATATACAATATTTTTCATCAATATGGTCACAGTATGTTGCGATAGGAATTGGTTGTATGCCCTTTCTAGTAAAATATCAAAGCACAGTATATATGTAATAGTTCTGTTTTTCTCTTAAAATTGTAAGTGCTTTTACACTTATGTTGCTTTTAAGCTTATGAAAATTATATATTGAAAATGCTTTGAAGTGTTTCTGTAATGTATATGTGCATTGTATAACACCAGCGCTTAAGGGGATTTTTTTCAGCTTTTGTAAAAGGAAATAAATTCTTAGGAATTCTGCATGGAAGAGGCAGATGTTAAGTAGTCTAAATAATTTTAGCATTGTTTTGGCAAGGGGTTAAGTCAGATTTTGTCAGCATTCTTTCCTATTTTAGGAATGTGTTCCTCCAATAAAATTTCAGCTCAAATTCTGGCTTTTGTTGCATAAGCTCCGAAAGGTATTAAATGGTTTTTAACTATGTCCATAGTTAAAAGCAATTTTCTTCTCACAGTGCTGTTCCTTGAACAGCAAATAGCCACAAAGCTAACGCATTGTCAATGAAAACAGTCGTGAAACTAGTTGAGAATTTGCTCAATTAGCCGAAACTTTAAAATCTTCTATTGTTTGTCCCTCCTGCCTACTGAAAGGAAGCAAATGAAAAAAATTTGACAAAACAGCAGCCCTAAGGAAGCGTTAAGGATCTACCTCTGTTCCAATATTTATAGCGGCTGGAATGACTAGGAACAAAGTCATCTCATCTGCACCATCCTGGAAGGTGCATGATTCATTTTAGACAGGCTCTGCTCACTCCGCAGCATGTTGTCATCCAGGAGCATTTTTTAATGGTTAGTCGGAGTGTTGTTGAAATTTGCCATGGGTTATCCCATTGTGTTTTTCACAGCAGGAAAACTCCTACAGCGTGACATTTTGGTGGAGCACGTAGAGGTCACCTGGAATTTGCAGGTGTCTTTTTGTGATGCTACACAACTCTTCGGGCAGCAAAGGAATCGATGATCCTAGGAAAGAAGGGACTTCAAATTTCATCCCGAGAATATTTAATGATAGTGGAAACTACTAGTTGGTGGTACAAACTCATGGATGCCCCACTGCCAAAGTGGGTTAAAGCTAGGTTGGCTGTAGCACCGTGAAAATGCATCAGAGGGCACAACTGACTGAATTCACAACCTAAGAAATCTTTTCCGCTTTCCCCTTCTGTGATTTAATAAAAGGCTGAGGTTTCCATGTATTGGCATTATTTTTGCCTCCCATCAGGAAGCATCTGTAAAGCTTTTGACACAACCTAACTAAAAAAACTGCTTGTCACAACTATGTTAATTCTGTGCTATAAAATTAACTAATCAAAACATTTTCCTTGTGGTTTTGTACTCTTTCTGCCCGCTTACTTTCATAGGTAAGTAGTCCATTAGTCTTGAGTAACTAGGCAATAGACAGTAGTCCAGAACTCCTTCTTTCATACACACCAAAAGGAAAAACTCATCAATTTTGACCAAAGCAAATTCAAAGATTCTCTGAGGCTTAAGAAGCCATCATCTGACTGCTCAGACAGTACAAAATTATAAAGATTGTCCTCTCCAATCCCAGGCCTGCAGTTTACTGGGGATTTGTAATGTAATACTTCCTGCTCGTCAGAGAGCAACTGATTTTCATTCCTGAGAACCAATGTTTAAGGCAGTTTGTGTCTTGCTGGGTATTTGATTTTCTTCCAGCTGCTGACCAGCAATTTGCTGAGAGTGCAAATGTATTATACATACATAAATTTAAAGTCTTCTTTCCTTGCTGGGCTTACTACTAGGATGAGCAACTTCAACGTGAAGATTTAAGCGGAAATGAAATAAACCATGAAACCCATATATGCAGACTTTGCTGTCTTTAGATGGATCTTATGTATTATGAACCATGATGAAGCTATCCATTGAAAACATTCCTAAATATGTTGTTTATAATATTAAAACGCTTGAGTCTTCAATCTTAAGTGCTTGCTTCTATGTACAGGAGTTCTATGAATATTTGAGTTCCTGGATTGTAATGCATGTTCATCAAGTCAGGCTGTAGGTAACCAGTGTTCTTTTAAAGAAAATAAAAGAAACATTCAGTGGACTGTCTCTTCAGTATCATAATTTTCAAGGTTTTTATTTTAAAATATAAATATGGTTTGTTATGAATATTACTTTAAAAGAAACCACTTACGATTACCTAAGGTAAATACTACTTAGTTTTACCTTTAAGTTACCCAGTGTTTTTTTCTTGCGCTGCTTGGCTGGAAAGCACATAACAAATGGTCAGGTATGCATGTCCCCCTGGTTGTATGTATTTCTGCACAAGCTATACAGATTTCCAGCATATTTGCAAGAAAAAAGGTTAACATTTCTGCAGTTCACGGTTAAACTCCCGTATATGAAATGACTTAAGACAAAATTACAGAGGGAAGGTATTCTTTGTCACTGTTAATTTTTCTTTCAGAAAAAAAGAGCAGTACAGGTATGAAAGTGTGTTCGGATTTCTTTGACTTATGCCAAAACTACCACATCATTACAAAGAAAATTCATTTGTATGTCATGTTCAGTATGTCTTAAATGGCTTGAAATCACATCACTGAGTGAATTAAGTTTTCTTTTCTGTTGTAGGCCAAGGGTAAGGAAAGACAATGGCTGAGACACCAAGCTGTTGGAGAGCTAGATGATGCCAAAATCATTGATGGGCTGACAGGAGAAAAAGCCATATATAAACGACGGGGAGAACTTGAGCCACAAGTAAGTATCCAACAAGTAGCAGGGAAAGGTAGGGAAGTGCTTAACCAGTTTGCTGTTTTAATAGTGGCTGTACAAATACAGGTGGAATTTCAGTGAGTTATAGGGATGAGAAACTCAGAAGAATCTTGGGAAGATTGGGAGGAATCGTGGGAAGTCCTTGAGACAGAGGCAACCAGAAGATGGAAGATTTGCTTCACTTCTTATAGTCGTACACATGTATTTGCGATTTGCCACTCTCAGAGAGAGGATGCTGATCTAGGCAGTCCTTTGTTTTGATCCAGTGCAACAGTTTTTATGTTCTTATTTTATATTTTATTGAGCTGAATGCAATTAGCACAAAACATTTTTTTGTTTGTCTAAGAAAGAGGAAAGTATTTTCTTACTAACTCAATTTAATTTTCAATGATAAGTACCCTGATATCCTGGGAAGTTTAAAAAAAAAGAGTTTTACTAATGTCTTCTTATTCCATGATATGCAAAGAATTTTAGCTTCCACAGATACTTGGATTTACAAGAATAAAAACTATAATGGGAAAAAAGTGTGAGGAAAAGTCATTAGGATACGATAAAGTTGTCTGTCCTATGGCTCAATTCAGCCATTCCTTAGAAGACATTATGGTTAGGCCTGTATGAGTCAGCAACAGAGAAACCACTTGAATCAGACCAGCAAAACCTGGCCAAAATTGGTGGGGCTAGTCCATAATATTTAACAGTAATACTTAATGACAGATTGCAATTTTTAACTACACTAAGAATTTTTTTTAAATAGCTGAGTACAACATCTTTTTGCACGTCAGCTACCCACATCTGATGAATCCGTGGTATTATTTTTTATGCTACTTGGTCCTGATGTGTGTTGCTTTGAACAGTTTATGGAACTTGGCACTGCCTGTGTGAAAGATCAATAAGGGAAAAGTGATTAGATCTTAATTTCTCATTTTTTTCAAAACGTATTTACTCAATGTATCAGTTTTAAGGCTTTGTAAAAATAGTTCAATTAGGAAAAAAAAGGACATCTTTTAAGTTTTGAATAAAAAGCAAAATAAATGCAAGATTTAATGGGCCCTCTCTCTCCCTTTGTTTTTGGGAGGACAGGGATGGCACAGTCCATTACGAGAGTAATTAAAAGAATAAAGCATGCAAATGCTTGCAACCCTCTACAGGTAAAAGAAACTTTAGTTATTTGTTTTTAATGTGACTCGTTTTTTGCCGGATCATCTTTAATAGCCTTGTACTTGAATCCAGACTCATCTCATTGCACACTAAATAAAACACCTCCCTTGAATGTACTGTGCCGAAAATTGTTAAAACAGATGGGGATTGATTTCAGGAAAAAATAATGGTTTCAGCATCAGAATGAAGAAGAAACTAGTAGTTAATCAGAACAAGATTTCAAACATTTTTGGAATGTTATTAACCTCAGCAGACAAGTTTTTACAGTCTTATATGGGTCCCTGATAGTACCGTAAGCCAAGGAAAAGCATTTCCATTATGAGCCTTGGCAGAAAGAGCAAATTTGAGAGTCTCTTTACTGAAATAAAATGTTAAGAATCAAAACTGAGGCAGAAAAAGTATTTTCCTGTCAAGCATGCGTGGAATTTTTCGAGGTATTTTGTTTCCAGTCATTGAAGGTGAGGGGAAAGAATGAATTGAGGTATCTGTTAAGTAACTGGTTTGAAACAGTTAGAAAAAAGGTTAAAAAGTTTTTGTTCTTTTTTAAAAAATAATCAGTGTTTGCTGGATAACAGTTTCTTGCTTTGCAAAGTGCGTTGGGTTCTCTTTCTGAAATGTTTTATCCTTGCCGATGTTTAGCTTTCCCATTTAGATTGTGGTTTTTTCTGCTGTGTTTCCCTGCCAGCCTGGGAGCCCCCAGCAGAAACCTAAACGCTTGCGCCTGGTGGTGGATGTTTCCGGTAGTATGTACCGCTTTAACGGGGTGGATGGACGACTGGAACGCTCCATGGAGGCTGTCTGCATGGTCATGGAAGCTTTTGAGAATTATGAGCACAAATTCAAGGTAATTACAGCTGGTCTAGGATCTCTATGGTTATTGCACAGGCTGTGTGGAGCAGTGGAAAAAGTGTTTCAGCAGTCAGTCTAGCCAAAGGACATTATTCATTCCCGCAAGGAAATAAAGACATTAATCTGTTTCTAGCAACATGAAAAATAATACTAGTGAATGGATAAGAAACATTACATGCTTCAGCAGAAGAATTCAATCTAAGACTTTTAAGACTTTGATTTAGTGAAATATGCTGCCTTTTTCTGTATTTATCTGTTTATTTGTTTCTTTGAGTAGAAATGCTTAAGCCTACAGAACACAAGTAAATATGAGCTTCAGGACATGCAAAGATGCCCAGCCTTTCCATCTGCCCAGAGTACAGACAGTAGTACTTTGTCATGGGAGACGACCATTTCTTATTGTCCATTACTTGTGTTCTCTTCCAGTTACCTGAAAGCAAAAAAAAAAAAATTTCTTATACTGAAAGTTATTAGGTTCCAAATGTTATTTAATGGTAGCCTGCAAAGGAAATGTAAATAAATTTTATACCTTTTTTTGTCTCAGTAAGCTCAGGCAAGGTCTAGGGTATGTTTCTTTAACCTCAAAAAAGACAGGAATAGCCAGTCTCAAGTTAGTTAATTCTTGACAAACTCAGTGTTTAATGGAAGAATAAAGATATCCAATGCCTTTACTGAAGAACATCTCAAACATAAGACTTAAAATACATCTGAACAAAATGTAAAATCTTCTAAACAATATTAATAGAAAACTTAGTCCAGATCAATTCAGCCAGGTCTGCTTCACATTGTTCCTCTGGCAGCATAATCCTACAGATTTCTGTTCTTCTGTAGAATCTCCTGTACAAAAACAGGCCATATGGAGGCATGTACTTTTGGAATGTCTTCTAAAGTACAATCATGCAGACTTCCATTTGTCAGGGAAAAGGCTATAAAAGGAAACAGGCATTATGTTTTTAGCCTGCTTTCCTAAGGAAACGAGATATGTGCTACCATACTCTCTGGCAATCATGCTTTCTCCTCTTTAAACATGCTTAAACAGAGTATGTTGCCCAATTTCAGATTTGAAACAGTGGTTTTGTTCCCAAAGACCCTAAATTCCTGCAAATGTAATGAAAATAGGCCAGATAGAGAGTTTGTTTGTACTTCTGTTGGAGAAAAATGCTGTAACTATAAGCTTAGACCGTAGCCCAGAGAAGCCATGTGGGAACTCAACTGTAATTAAGAAAATAATGGCAAATGAGGGGTTTATTGGTTCAACTGCTCATGTATCTCCTGCTCACTGATAATAAAAAAGTTGATGACAGATATTAAGAGGGCAGTGTAATTACACAACACAATTTGTGTAGCTTGGTAAATTGGGCATATCTGAGGAACATGCATATTAGTATGGCCAAATGCAGGATCATCCACAAAGGAAGACAAAATAGAAGTAGTGGACACAAGGATAAATATGATATATTGGGGTATAGTCAACACGGCTTTTGTAAAGGGAAGTAACGCATTCTGAAGAGTCTATATGTATGTGACAAGCAAGGTTGGTTGATAGAGTCTCCTTATCCAAAAGCATTTCACAAAGTCCCTCACTAGAGGCACTGGAGAAATGATACTGCTTTGGGATAAAAGTGAAAGCCTTCAGATGGATGAACTACTACTTAAAATGTAGAAAACAGACTAAGTGGTCATTTTTTAGAGTGAAGAAGTGAAGGGAGGTCACTGGTGGAACTGCATTGGGATTTGTGCTAGAGCCCATGTTGTTATGTTGTTCCGTATATTCATAAGTGATCTGTAAAAGGGGATGGATAGTGAGGTGACAAAAGTTGAAGTTATTTGGGAAAACAAAAAGGGAAATCCAGCTGCAAGAAGTTGGAGAAGGACCTGGCCATAAATGGTGACTGGGAAATAAAATGGCAGATGGTGTTCAGTGCTATTAAATGTGAAGTGCTGCCGATGGAAGAAAGCAATTCTGATTTTAAATACACAGTGAGGAAGTCTCAGCTATCTGTTAGGGCTCACTCTCCGTTATATATTAGTGCTCAACAAAAAAATCCTGTAATTATGTCATATGGTTCTTTGAACACGCAGTGCCCACCAGCTGTCAAAAAAGCTTATTAAATGTTAGAAACTATTAGCAAAAGAACAGAGAATAAAGCAGAAAGCATCAGAATGTCACTGTAAACATCCATAGTGCATTCACATCAGGAGTAATGTGTGCAATCTTGGTCCCCCGGCTCACAAAAGTTCTTGTAGAGCTGAAAAAGAAGAGAGGGTGACAAACATTACAAAGGGTATGGAAGCGTCCCCATACAAGAAATAGCTTAATAGGCAAGAACTACTCAGTTTGGAGGAGGTACAAGTCAAGGAGCTGATAAAATCTTGAGTAAAATGGAAACAGTGACCAGAAGACAGTTGTTCATTCTGTTCTACTACAGCCATTCTGCTCTCATTACGAACAATGAATTATTTTACATTTACACAACAGAGGACAGTGGCTTAGAAGGTGATGACACTGAAAAAAGATGTAGTGCAGTGGTAGATAGCCAGCTGTCCTTATTTCCAGTGCAGCTCTATAGCGGAGAACCCAGACATGACCCTCAGGTGCATGGTAAAGGAATAACATGTGGAAGTAGACAGACAGACAGCCCACTGTGCAGAATTAGTAAGATCATTAAGAGCTGTCTTCAGTTCTGGGATTTTAAAATCTGTTTCATTACCTTTCAAATCCCTCTGTATCTATTACAGATTATTATATTTTGTTTGGCAATAGTTGCTATTGGCCAGTGTTTTGCCCCGCACATAGATGAAACCCTGTATTTGGCCATGCAAATAACTCAAAATGCAGTTAGTTGTAACAGTAAATGTGCCTCTCTAACAACCACTTGCCATTTATAAAAACACTTACACAAAAACCATGTGCAGTTATTAGATGTGAAAATTGCCACTCTTTGGTTATAGTAAGGCAGGAGTAGTAATATCCTTACAATCTCTGAGTCAAGAGAGCTGTGAGGCCAATTTTATACTTAAAATAACAGTGGTGAGGAAGATGCTGGAAATTTTAGTGACATAGCAAGGCAAAAAAGTTGTCATCAGCTTCTACATCTGTTCAACTTCAATTGCCTCTAGGGTAACTCTCCTCCATTTAAGGGCTCCTTCCACTGGATAAAGAACTTTGGGGGGCCAGTAACAGCCGCTTGATTCAGTGTGAACTGCTGCTTTTGCCCAAGGGAAGAGAAGTATTTTTCTTCCTCCACATCTCTCTGTGCTGCCTCATTGGGATTTGATTCACTCTAAGCATAATATCTACAAGAGTAGACCAGAGATGACTAGGACAGCAAACAAGATGTGGCCTTATGTTTCACTGGCCACTGAAGTCATCCCCCAAAATGAGCACAAATAGAGGTATTTATTAACTAGTCACATTTGAACCATATTCTTGACATGATCCAATGATTAGGCTAAAGTATCTCTTTTTAACCTATATTTCACAGTCCTTTCGTATGAGAAATCTCCCGTGCATGTACTGATGGACTCTCTGAGTCATTCCTTTGATAAAAATAAATAACATTTCTGAAATCTCCAGCTCAAAAATACAGATTTTTTTGTGTGTGTGCATAATCTGGTATGGCAGTTGCTACGCCTGCATGAATGAGATCAATAACCAGGACATGTGCCAGTTCCTCAGTTTCTAATGAGTTTCTAATTAGGTTTTCCAAAGAGTAAGAGAGCCAGTGATTGTTTTAAAATATCAGTGACTCCAGTCTGTAAAACACTGACGCTTTGCAAGATGCTGCTAATTTTTCTCAGGACAAAGCTGAAGTTTGGGTATGTCTGCAAAAATAGCATACATTTCTCATGTTTAAAAGAGGAATCATATAAAAAAAGAGAAAAGATCACACAATTATGTTGTGTGCAATGAGAAGTCTGCAATTTGTCACTTTTTTCTTTCTCTTCCTTATCCTTTTCTTGCCTACCAAGAGTGGTTTTATAAAAATAGACTTTTTTGGCCTTTAGATATGCCTGCTGTTATCTGTTCTTGTTGTAGCCCCATCTGCAAGGGTCACAACAACATATGCTGCAAATTTGAGGGGTTTCTTGTCGTGGTTTAGCCCCAGCCAGCAACTAAACCCCACGCAGCCGCTCGCTCATGTTCCCCCTCCGGTAGGATGGGGGAGAGAATCAGGAGGACACAAGTAGGAAAACTCGTGGGTTGAGATAAAAACAGTTTAATAATTGAAGTAAAACAAAGTAGAACAGTAATAATAACAATGATAATAACAACAATAACAGAATATACAAAGCAGGCGATGCAAAACAACAATAACAGAATGTACAAAGCAGCAGATAATGCACAATGCAACTGCTCACCATCTACCAACCAACACTCTGCATGTCCCAAACCGCCAGAGCCCCCCCTCCCCCCCCAGTTTTTATACTGAGCCTGACATCCCATGGTGTGGAAGACCCCCTTGGCCAGCTGGGTCAACCACCTCGGCTATGCTCCCCCCCAGCTTCCTGTGCACCTGGTAGAACATGGTAAGCCAAAAAGTCCCCAGTGCAAGCACCACCCAGCAACAACCAAAGCGTCAACGAGCCATCAACGCTCCTCTCATACCAAACCCAAAACACAGCACACCCCCCAGCCACCAGAAGTAAAGTTAACTCTATCCCAGCTGAAACCAAGACAAACATGTTGAACCTGGGGGACCATCAGGCTTGTTGAGCAAAGCATTCAAAGGGGGTTTACATAGTAAAGTTCCCTTCTGCTGTCTAAGTGCAGTGCAAACTTTGGAAACCAATTCTTGGTTCAAGATCACTTTTCTGCTGGTGCTTGATTTAGTTCTCTGCTAAATAAGGTTGTGAATGAATCAGATGGGCTTTTTTTTTTTTGGTTGTTTTATCCTGCCGGTTGAGCTTTCCCCATGTGTGGTACCCCTTGGTATCACTGATGATGTAAATTGTCTGATTGGTCTTTACACTGAATGAAGGTAGAGAATACTTTCTCCCTGCCTTCTTATACAGAAGAGCTAAGTATGGGGTATGTGACTGTACCAAGCAGGTAACGAAGTTATCCTTCATAAAAAGTTAGACAAGCACCATCAGGTATTTGTCAGCTTTTTATGCTTGCGTAGGACAACCTGCCTGCTTCCATTTCCCATAAGTGCAGGCAGTGAATCATTCGTTGTCAAGAGGGAAATGGGAGGCTCATCCCACAGTCGGGAAATCCATTTAAATTAACAGCCATGTTTCAAAGCCCTCCTCCATCGTCATCTCATCCACGCTTCCTCTGAAGTGCTTTATTAAGGAAAAGAGTGGGAGTGACTGAGATAATAGAAGCCACATTCTCAGTCTCATCCTACTAATGGAAGTTAAATATGTTCCTACAAGTGCCCCTTGACCCCTTTAAATGTGTGGATGCGTAAGTTATAAGCAGCAAGTTTTGCAGGATTAAAGTTCTTACATCTTTTGTACATGTCATTTTAGGTGCCAATTATTTGAAAATGTACAGAAGGGCAGTTTGTTCTTTGTTTTATCTGAGGTAGTATTATGTCTGTCATACAAACCATATGATTTTATGTCATCCCTAATTACCGTCATTTGCACACATGATGGCAGATTTAGGAGGCATGTCCAATAAATTATCCAACAGCAATTTTATGAAGCCTTTAAAATATCATAAGTGGTTCAATAAATGGCATGTTATGTAACTGGTAGGAAAAGCCTGAATTGTTATTTACAGCAATATTAAAGGGATATTGCAGATTTTATATGCCCATTTCAGCATTCCCCATTTGTAGAATTTACTATGGAGGCAGCACTGTTAATTCAGGAAAAAAAGAAATGATCCACGTGCTTGGCAGAATAGTTTCTTTTAGTAATAAACAAAAGGTTTGAAATAAATTCAGAAAAAAAAAATGTTCAGTGTTGTCCAAAGAAGAGATGAATTTATAAAGATCTAGCCCTCCGGCAGAGGCCTAATTCACACTGTCTTTTACATTCAGCATGCGTCTTCTTTCAGCTTTTTAAATGCCTTCAGAAATTAAACCTTTTGGCATGGCAGCTGCAGAAGACAAAGTCTTCCATTTTACCCATTTTAGGCAGCAGCAACCATCCATTCAGTGCAAAATGTGACATGGAATAGGGATTGGTTTAACCTGTAAGGAAGGAAACCAGCAAAATGATGCTATTTCAAGAGACGTGTTTATATATTGTGTACCCACAGCTCTGAATAGAGCAGTCCTTGTCTCAGTGTACCTGAGGCTATTGGAAAACGAGCCGCTGTCTACCACAATAATAAATTAATTCAAGTAAGCCTGCACTGTGGCAAACAAGTGTTTTGTTGCTGGATTTGTCCTAAGAGCCTATGCTTGCAATCTATTTTGTAAAACAAAGCGAAAGTCAGTTCTGAGTAAGATCGTATCACAGCTCTTCTCTCACTTCTAACTCCATCCACATAAATTCTCCTAGGGAATTTATGAGAAAAATGCATCAGATCCCTGCTTCTCAGAGGCCTTTTTTCTGTGCTCGCCTTTAGCTCCAGCACTTGTGCAAAGGAAGGAAACTGGTTTTGACAAAGCGTGCATGTGCCTGCATGTGTTGGGGTTCCCAGTTGGCCAGGGCTGTGGAGCTGTCTGCACCTTTTCTTTAAAATGAGCGCACCAAGATAACATCGAATCACTAAGGGTTCATTTTACTAGAACGCAAACTAGAAGGAGGTAATAATTTACTGAAAGAAAACCTGGATGAGAGATTTAAATCCTCCTTCTTTGCCGTTGCAGAGTGGGGTTCTTCTCTGGGCCAGTTTTACTCTGTCCCAAACTCTGTTTTGCAAAGTTGCGGTAGACTCCATACATTCCCGTGGGGAAACATCTCCCTTCTGTCACCTCTAAAGCTTGGCTGTGAGCCTGTTCCCATCCCTCCCTCCCAGGGAGGGTCTCCCAGGCTGCAGTTGTGTGCTGACTTAAGTCAATCCAAGTCAGTGCTGCTACGTTCCTGTCCCCACCTTTGCTGGGGCACAAGTACTCATCTGACATCGCAGTTTGGGAGGCTAAACAGCCAAAAGCAGTCTCATGGTCATTAGCTTTTGGCCACTCCTGGTCCTTGACTTGACTTCCAGGGGTTCAGAGGACCATGAGGACCAGCATGCGAGGGCTGGTGACCACAGCACTTCTCTTCGGCAGCACAGGTGCTCAGGCAGGGCGAGATCTCACCCTGCTTTTGGGGAGGCCCCGCTTGACCCAGAATGCAGCAGCGAGGACAAAGCAAACAGGCACTTCTTCCCTGCTGTCTCTCCACACTTCTTTAATCACAAATAGTGTAGTAAACTGTCGGCAAAGAAACAAGGTAACAGATAACATCTTTTAAATATATGTACTCTGGCGCATGCAAGGGCGCACACGGAGAATAATAGCTAGCTGAGGAGGGAGCAGACAGGACATGATGTTCCCAGGTGAATGGCTTTACGTGCCTGCGAAAGTTTGTTGAGATCTTTTCAGCCTCCCCTTGCCCATACCCGGGTTGTACGTTCCCACCTTGTGCAAGAATGTGGAGGGGACCCAACCGTAGGGTCAACCTCTAGTGTTTCATCTAGGAGCTACAGCAGTTCCCTTTACACAGACTGTCACACAGAGTTTACACCCAGCCTTTTTGAGATGAAAGGTTGGTCCGTTATCAGTGTGTGCCAAGAACCAACATGGTATTCCCAAATAGCAAAATTTGGCGTATTCCCATGAAGTCAGTATGGCAGAGCTGATACCAGGACACCCGGTGGGAGAGGTCTGTGAAATGCTAGGAAGGAGTTCATTACGAAGGAATCAGGCTTCTTTTTACACAAGAGAATGACAGCATTTTGCTTTACATAATTAGGTTGTTGATTTAAAAGTGATACCCAATACAAAACTGCTCAGCAAAGGACGTGCAGGGTTTCGTAATTAAGAGCCTACCCTGAAGATCTGTGGACATTTCTGACATTACGTAAGAACCACATTAGTGCTGTATATTTTCCACTCCGTTAAACCACTGCTTTATTTAGTTCCTCTGATTTGAATAATCTCTAGTTTTTAAAACAATACACATGCACAGTCTCTTTGTGTGTATTCACGTTCTGGATTTATTCCTGTATTAATTCAGAAGTATGTTGAATGTAACCTCAACGTTATTCTCAAAATTTGTGTATTTTCATTTGCCATGTCTTTCCTCCAGGAAAGATAATGGTTTGGGGAAGACAGAAACACCAGCTAAATACTCATGAGGAAGGAGAGAGTCTGAAGCATTATTGGTGATAAGAAATAGGTTTTGAAGAGAAAGCATGTGTCAAACTGGAAGCTTTACATGGGGCTGGGTAGCAAACACAAGAAATGGAAGAGCCGAGGAGAACAAGAATGGGAAAAGCCAACAGAGCAGAATAAAATGGGAGTACATGGGGACTAGGTTATATAAAAATTTCCTAGGGTGAGGAAGTCTGGGTTATGTGAGGCTGTCGTAAAATGGTCTGACCCCGGGTGAAATAATGTGGCATGTTTGCTGTTTTGCAGAGGGAGGTGTCACTTTTAAAAATGTTCTAGCTGCTACAGCTTTCTTTTACTCTTGATATATTTTTAAGCAAATTAGTGTATGGAAACAATTTAAAAGAGCTTTGTCAATAAAGAATGCCATTTTCCCAGTCTCCAGAACTCGACTTATACCAAATAAAGTAGTCTTCAATAGGAAAGAAAATTCAGAAAGTCTTTGAGGATGAGACCCAGCTTTTACCAAATGATTATGTGGGAATTAGGGATGGTGAACCCGGCACGGACCCGTAGGCAGTACTTGAATAAAAGGTAACAGAAAGGCAAAATATTGTACAAGGACTCCCTGTCTACTAAAGACAGGTCTGTGCCAGCTAGTCAGGGGAAAATACAAGCATGTTCATGTTGAGGAATTGCCAGCTCAGGTCTCTCCGGGTTTAGGATCTGTGCACTGTGCTCTATTATTTGGTGTAGACAGCTCTTAAATCCACTTTTGTCCTGCTCATGAATTCTCCTTGGGGTGACTGCCACATCCACAACACAAAGGGCAGGTCAGGACCTTGCCATAACTCAGCTTGTCTTGGTTTTCATGTATCGACAATAAAAATCTCACATAAAACAAAGGCCTTCCCAATATTACATTATTTGTTCAACAAGATATTTGAACTATTACAGCTTTACATGTCATGTTTTTGCAGCATCTTTCACAGGAGCATGATGCGCACACCATCTCCTTTGAAAACGTACAGAGACTCTTGGAATTCACTTCTCTACATACTTTCAGCAATTACTTTGATCTATTATGCACAAAAATAAGGAGTGCTGATTTTCAAAAAAGAAGGCTTGTAATACTTTTTTTTTTCAGAGCAGAATGAGGTCACAAAAATGATCCCTCAAACATGGGAGCTACTCTCAAACAATGCATTTCTTGTTTGTCAGACTCAAGAGGACAAAAATTGCTACTTTAAAAAAATGTGAGAGGGCAAGGTCTTGATCTTATGCATCACCGCTCTGCAATTGGTGGGATGATGTGAAAAACAGACCATGGAAATAAGTAACTGTTCCTTAATTTCATTATTTAGCAATTCTTTCCTGTGTTTTCATGTCGGTGAGAAATTGCAAGTAGTTCCCTTAAGCAGCTCATAAACAGAAGCAGGGAACAGTATTTGGGTTTTCTTGTTGAAAGCAAATTGCCTTTGATCTGTTTCGTGTCATTGTGACCCAAAGGCCGTTCGTGACTAACAGATGACTGATGAAGTTTCTTTCTTGCAGTATGATATTGTTGGACATTCAGGAGATGGCTTCGACATCGCCTTGGTTGGGAGTGACAAAGTTCCCAAGAACAATAAGCAACGATTAGAGATTCTTAAGGTAACTCCTACAGATAAGTGATGATGGATAATTAAGAATTTTATGACTGCAAAGATAAAACTGTAGATAGGTCACAGGATGCAAAACATAAGGAGAATGAAATAAAAGAAAGACAAGAAAGCGCAATCTGTGTATTTGCATAAAGCTAAAACAGGACCTTTCAGAGACTTGGCAGAAAACAAATCATGCCAAAATAGTAGAAGCTAGATAAGCCTTTTTCTGGACTGCTTTTTCTGGACTTTCTGGACACATAAATGTGTCATTTTGACTGCCTGTCAAAGGATATAGGAAGTTCCAAACATTACACAGTGATAAAGACAGCTCTGCATAAATAATGTGGTGATATTATTAGTGCGTAAGTGACTAATTTAAACTGTAGAGGGATACCAGGTCATTGATTTAGGCTGCTACCTTCAAAAAGTGATGTGTCACAGTAGCAGTGGGAAAAGGTGTCAATGCTAGACTCAAAATGTGTTAAATCACAATTGCAAAGTGAGTGTATTCGTCAAGACTTTACTGCAATAGGATGCAGAAAAATTGAGTATATTGCAGGATTTACCTGGTTGGCAGCTTGACAGATTAGAACTGTGTATATGAGCTTCCTTCAAAAAGTATTTTTAAAAGATCAGCAATCACTTGGGTTAGAAGGACTGGATTTTCTAACGTCTAAAATTCCTTGCCTTCTGCACGGGAAACAGCTTCATCAATGCAAACGGTGTATTTATTTCATAAAAGCTCAAACAAACCATTTCAGCATTTTTAAACCTTGCTGCCGATGTCAGGAGTCAAATATTTGTTAACAACTGTAGCACTATTAGGATTTGGAAGTCTAGTGCAAATTATAAACAGGCAGGAGTCGGTCACAGTATTAGGAAACTAAGCCCTGTTTTCTTCCTTAAATAGACAGGAATGTAGCTACTCAAACTGCAGCTTACCGAAGTATTTTACCTTCCTTAAGGTCCAGTCTAATTCTGTCCATGCATGGATTTTGTTTGTTTGACCCGCTGTGTTTTTAAGAAGTGACGCCTGTCTTAAAATATGATGTATTATGTACAAAAAGCTGCATCTTCTGTAGTATCTGGAGCACTGTCCACATTTCTGAAGTGTCCCCTAATATAGCATAACTGTATATTTACTCCCCCCTGTGCCAGCTAAAATGAATGTTTATTCATAAGGTCATCTTACATATTTCCACTTGGTTATGCTGTGCACACAGGTTATGCATGCCCATGCTCAGTTCTGCATGAGTGGAGACCATACCTTGGAAGGGACAGAGCATGCCATTCGTGAAATCGCCAAGGAAGAGGCTGACGAGTATTTTGTTATCGTCTTGAGTGATGCAAATCTCGAGCGATACGGTATTCAACCATCAAGGTTTGCCCAGGTCTTGACCACCAACGCTCAAGTCAATGCTTTTGCCATATTTATAGGATCCTTAGGAGACCAGGCAGATAGGTAAGTATATTTGTTTAATCCCTAATAAACTTTCTTTGTTTCCATTCATCATAAAACTAAACTGTGCTTTTATTGCAGCGAAGTTAGGCACAGTTGCCCATGCTGGTGTTCTGCACTAAGGTTTTGATCACTGTCGTGGTTTAACCTGGCAGGCAGCCAAACACCACGCAGCCGCTCACTCACTCCCCACCCTCCCCCAGTGGGATGGGGAGAGAATCGGAAGGGTAAGAGTGAGACAAACTCGTGAGTTGAGATAAAGACAGTTCAATAGAACAGAAAAGGGAGAATAATAATGATAATGATAAAATATACAAAATAAGTGATGCACAATGCAATTGCTCACCACCCGCGCTGACCGATAACCAGGTAGCGATCGGTACTTCCTGGATCACGCCTACCATTCATGTACTGAGCATGACGTCACATGCTATGGAATACCCCATTAGCCAGCTGAGCTGGCTGTCCTGATTATGTTCCCTCCCATCTTGTGTACCTAGCTCAGTCAGTAGGCATGGGAGCTGTCCTTGGACTAGGAGGGTACTTAGCAACAACTGAAAACATCAGTGTGTTATCAACATTCTCCTCATACTAAATCCAAAACTAGGAAGAATTTTAACCCTATCCCAGCCGAAACCAGGACAATCACAGAATTGTAAAATCATAGAATGGTTTGGGTTGGAAGGGACCTTTAAAGATCATCCAGTCCAAACCCCTGCCATGGGCAGGGACATCTTTCACTGGATCAGGTTGCTCACGGCCCCATCCAACCTGACCTTGAAGACTTCCAATGATGGGACATCCACAACTTCTCTGGGCAACCTGTGCCAGTGTCTCACCACCCTCATCGTAAAAAATTTCTTCCTTATGTCCAATCCAAACCTACCCTCTTTCAGTTTAAAACCGTTGCCCCTTGTCCTGTCACTACAGGTCCTTGTGAAAAGTCTCTCAGTCTTTCTTGTAAGCTCCCTTCTATATATTGAAAGGCTGCAATAAGGTCTCCCCAGAGCCTTCTCTTCTCCAGGCTGAACAACCCCAGCTCTCTCAGCCTTTCTTCATAGGAGAGGCATTCCATCCCCCTGATCATTTTCGTGGCCCTCCTCTGGACCCGCTCCAGCAGGCCCATGTCTTTCTTGTGCTGCAGACCCCAGAGCAGTACTGCAGGTGGGGTCTCACCAGAGCAAAGTAGAGGGGCAGAATCACCTCCCTCGACCTGCTGGCCATGCTGCTTTTGATGCAGTCCAGGATATGGTTGGTCTTCTGGACTGCGAGCGCACATTGCCAGCTCATGTCCAAGTTTTCATCCATCATTCATCACCATTTTTTTAATGTACTGCCAAGAAGCAGTAGCTTTGACTTGTATCAGGAAGGAGACTGGTTCGTGGGTTCTTGTAGTTATGGCCAACTAGTTCAGAGCATTCTGAGCATCCAAAGGGAGCACCTGAACCATCTTCTCACTGGAGGATGTGCACTATTCCCGTATGTAATATCACTGCATAATCGTGAGGGAGACATGGTGCCTTTGCCGTTGCCCAGTATGGGGTTTGAATGCGTGTGGGCCTAAGAAAAGAGATTAAAGCAAGAGGAGCTGGAGTGTAATGGTCTTTAAAACTGCCAAAAATTTGACTCATACTCCCCTTGTGTTAGAGACCTAAATTCTTTAGAGAGTCTGAGCCAATAAGCCTATTTTTAGCGCTACACATAATTTTACTTTAAATTGTTTGGGCACAGGGAAAAATAAGGAAATTCTGTCCCAAGTGATATTCCATATCCACCAAGGACCAACACATGCAGCAAAAAGCTGGTATAGCCACAAATATCAGCAGTGCCTTTTCTGCTTCTGTTTGAGTCTTCAACTAGAACAGAATGAGAGAAGGCCCAAAGGGAATTGGCCCTTGGTACATAGTTTTAATCAGAAAATGGTTGAAAGGTACAGCTGCACAGCCAGCCTTAGTCATGTCTGCAGGTCTGTACATCAGAGCTGCGTTTTGCATGAAAAAAGAATCCATTCTGAAAGATTATAATTACAGAAGGTCCTTTTACTTCTGCTAGGAGTTAAAAAAAAAAAAAGCACTGACCATATCCTGCTGTGTAAGAGGAGATCTTGTAATTGCCTAGTTCACTGGTTATGGAAAATGCACACAATGCTGTCACTGAAATGCATTTCTATGTACGTGGAAGTGTCGAATTAGACAAAGCTTTCCTGTAACTGCTGTGGGGGAAGGAGAAGGGAATTCTCTGTTGCAGCTTTTTTAAAGCTCACTTTAAAAGTGAGACTTAACTTAGCATTGGAGAAATGGTGTGGAGCATAAACTCCTTTAAAAAGCAGTGAAACAAAAAATTCCAAGCTTGCTGACTGGACATAAGGAGATAGGGTTTGTAACGTGCATGTTGTTTAGTTTTTTTAAGGGGGTTAAGCTGTAAATAAAAATGTGTCAGGCTAATACAGGCAGAAAAATATCTTTCCATCTAATCTGCTGCGATCCTGCTGCGATCTCAAAGAGGAAATACAAAGAGCACATTTAGAATCACTGGCGGTGTTGAACTGAAAGAGCTGTGCGTTCATGGTAGTCTATTTAGAGTAAGTAAATATCCTCGTTTCTAGAGTAAATCTCTAGCTGGCCTCGGAAAACCAGTTGTGGTAGTACCTCGTGGGGTCACTGGTACCTTGATCAAAACGGAGTTTTTGCACGTCAGAAAGAGGACGTGAATAGAAATCTCTAGGAACAGTCTTGACTGTCTTGCTGAAAGGACCTCTGTGACTTAGCTGCTCTCAGTGTTTCCTCCCACTGCTGCTTTCCCAAGCCTTTAATTGCATGGTGACAGCGACGTGAACGGCATGGATTGGGAAGGTATTCAAAAGGAAAAACATCCGTTCTTAAGGAACCCTGACTTGTGGTAGGGAAGATAATTTGAAATAGTAATTGTGTCTTGTCCCTCATTCTGCTCCTTAGGCTGCAGAGGACACTACCAGCAGGTCGATCTTTTATTGCCATGGATACCAAAGAGATTCCCCAGATTTTGCAGCAGATCTTCACATCTACCATGTTGTCAAGTGCCTAAGCATCACTGATGTCACGGTGCGTGAATTCAAAGAAGAAACCCACTCCTGCTGGAGATATAAACCCTAAAGCTGAGGATAAACACAGTTATTAATAAAATACATACTGTTCTCTAATCAGCAAAACGACTCAAATCTGCACGACAGTCGGGCTGTAAAATTTCACCCAAAATCTCTCAACCGACTTAGCGCGTTCAAAGAATTGCAGTGGGGCAGAGGTAAATCGCAGGATGGCAACAGAGCGAATGCTTTTCAGAGGGACAAATAAATAAGGGACAGTTTGTGATCATTCCTGTGGCTGCCGTGTTGCCAGCACTGTGGTATCATCTCGCCCTGTTTTATTAAACACGGTTCGCTGGGATTTGATAATATTATGCAAGGCAGAGCCAGGCAATCTGTTTCAGTGTTTTGTGTGCATATGTTTGAATGGGTAGTTAACTCCATCTCTGATTTAAACAGGACTGCTCTTGTCAGGCAGGAAACCTTTCCTTCCTCTGCTGTTGCTTTCTTGTCCTGACGGGCATCAGGGCTTCACTGCTGGATGCTGGGAACAATGGAGCAGTTTGGAAACACTGGCCGTCGCGTGTAAACATTTGTTATCTGATCAGGCACGGTGCTCAGAGTTGTCAGATCTAGAGAAAGTGGCTGTTAAGAAGGAAAACAAACCAAAAATAGATTCTTTCGGTTCTGCCTGTGAAAAGTAAGGGGAAAGGGTCAAAACGGTCTTAAGAACCCAACAGCCAGTGTTTCCAAGGAGGGAACTACTGCCGAGTCTCCTTTGCGTGACCGATGATGCTGTCCTGCTGCACTGTTGCCCAGACTCCCTGGGATGGCCTCGGTACGTGGAAGTGCCTTTTTGGTTGGGAGACAAGAAAGTTACTAACACTTTGCTAGAGCTCCTTCATGATCTGTTTTGCTTGGGTCTTTTGAAAATGAAACTAGAGGTGAGATCTAGGCATGAGAAAATAAGTTCTTTTTTATAAAGGAAGAGGGAAAAAATCTATTTTTATTTTAGCAAGATATCTGTGTTGGGGTATATTTAATATCCAGGATAGTTATAAAGACTTAGTTTACAATTCAGTCCGCTGGTGTTTGGCTTGTCCCATGAGGTGATAATTCCTCTTATCTACTAAAGAATAGATATCTTGTAGTGCATCAGGAACACTGGAATACTTAATGAATTGAATGTATGATTTAATTAAGCTGGGTGGGGGGTGTGCGTCATCACTGATACTCTGCTGATACTAATTTGAGGGTAACTGAATAGAAAAAAGTCAAGGGAGAGCACTTATAAAAATCTGAAGGAGGAGTTGCAATACTTCACTTCTAATATTTCTCTTAATCCTGCAGTTGCTCAAACCACACTGTGAGCAGTATATCTGGAGGGGAGGTGGCAAATTAATTTGATCTTGTTACATACAACCATCGGTCTTTTAAAGGGTCCAGTTTCTAGTGGTCATTCTCTACTCCCTCAGTCATGCAGCAAAAATCTTTACCGGAGCATCAAAAATGTCCCATATTTAGGATGTGTTTCGAAGCCTGGCCAGCTTTGAAACTCTTTATGGCAAGAGAGGACGGAAGACGTTTTTCAAAAGCTTGTTAGTATTGTTATGATAACTATATATGTGAAAACAATGAGGTTGAAGATGCAATTCCTGTTTGGAGAGAAGGGAATTGGGAGGAGAAGGTTGAGAAGGTTATCCCTGGTTGGGACAAATGAATGTACACGCGCATAAACACAGACATGGCTACTGAGGGGAAGTACGCTTCAAAATATAAATATCTTGGTCCTGTAAACATATGATGAGATACTAAATGCAATAAAGAATTGACATATTAATAAGTCTGTTAGTAAATGTGTTTTTACATGGAAATTCCTTCAGCACCTCTGCTTTTATTGCCAACAGTCCTTCAAAAAAGAAGCATTTCATTACAGTTAATTAGCAAATGTATTGTACACTTTCTAGATTACTGGAGTGGATAAACTTTCTCAGCTCAGATTTACATGCAGTATAATACTCTTATCTTTATCGTAAAAAAATAGTGTTATTTAAGGGAAACTCTGAGGTAAATCCAATTTTAAACCTTTTGTTTGATTATCCCTGTAAGTTGTATTTCATGTCATGCTATTTAAAGTTACCTTTCTGTAGTGTTTGGTTTTATTCTTTGTTTCAGGAGATGTCTGGTGTGTTTCAGTTCACGTTTCATGGGCCCCCAGGGTACAGCCGTGTCCGCGGCCAGGAGGGTGGCTGGGAGAGGATGGAAGAGGTTCCCAGTAGATTTTGAGAGAAAGGGAGAAGAAATGAATGAAACATTATTACTTTTTTTTTTCAGTTCAGAAGGAGGGGGTGTGGGTTTTGCTTTTAACAACGCTTCATTGCAGAGCATATTTGACCCGACAGCGTCTCTCTAAATTGTTAAAATTCAAGGCGAAATTTTCCCCAGGCCGTGCATCTCTCACCTGCTTTAATGCCCATCGGTACCCCAGGGAAATCAAAGCAGCAGCTGTGCTTTTCCCTGTCTCTCAAGGACTGGCAGGGTTATTTCACTGCTCAGAAATTCAGCAAACACGCTTCTTCCATGTCCCTGGGACTCGCAGAGCTTCTTAATACGCACTTGTTTTTAATTAGTAAAATGCTTAAGAGTAATGTGGCTTTGTTTAACTCACAGCAGCACCAGTGACTGCTCTCGTTGCAATGCATGCACCAGCCTTGTGTGTCACTCATTCTCTCTGAAAGCATGTTAAGGTATTTTCCGTCTCTTCTCACAGTTTATTAAGGCACTTTCGCACTCACTGGTTTTTATGAAAAGGCGCTGTTTCGGCGAATGAATAGAGCTGCCGGTTGGAGCGGGTCCTGACCTATCGCTAATACTTTAATAGCATTAGTGACATCAGCAGTAGTGATTTTAACTACCTCTTATAATGCAGGTCTAGTTCTGTTTATATATGCAATGTGTTCATATTCACTATCTATCTGGTTAGTAACAGTACAAAGTCGTTTAGGATTATTATTATTTAACTGAGGTGCAAAACAAAATACAGAAAGCCCAGGTAGAAGTGATTTCAGTCAGAGCAAAGCATGTTCAACATTTAGAGTCATAAGCAGCTTCACGCGACTACGTGTAAAAGTGAATGGTTAGCGTGAAGTGCAAAGAGAGTTAGGAGGGACTCGTAGTTTTGGACTCCAGCAGTCTTTTTTTTTTTCACTTCTTTCCTTTACTGACATTAGATGTCAAACATGATTATGAATGTCGTGCTAGAGCTTATCCATTAGCCTGATAAAATTAAGACTACAGATCCTAATCACTGATCAAATACACTGATGTAATATTCCAGCAAACAAGCATACAACAGGAGATTTAGATACTGTATTATATGTGCAAAATCAAACCAAAAAAAGAACCCTGATGCCTAGTTGAGAGTACAGGTAAGAGATGCAAGAATACCAGAGGTTTTCTTTATCTATGCAGTTAGAATTTTTTTTTTAATTATTACAAAACAAGTATTAAAATAATTTGGACAATTAATTAATATTACACATTATCGTGTTTATTAATAAATAACATTCCTATAAAAATGAGAATGTACAAGATATTTATTGAGAAATAAAAATACAATTCCTAACCATGTATCGAATCCAGAAAGCTGATTTGAAAATAGAATTGTTGTACAGAACCTCTAGACTAGAAAAGGTTCAGGGTTTAGTTAGTGCTTTAAATGTTACCGTTTTAGTGTAAATAGGTAAAGCTCTTCAGTTTGTCTGCTGTAAATATAATAGAAGTTGTTGTTCAGCTTCTAGCTAATTCTGCTTCTGGGGCAAACGTCTATTCTGGCCCCATCTTAAAAAAAACAAAAAACAAAAAAACAACTTGCATTTTATCATTTACTATTCTTTCTGCCAGCATCTGGGAAGAGCAAACACGCTCTCCTGTCCTGACAACCTTTTAGAAAAGGAAGGTCAACATTTCTTCCTCTCAGCCCCTGTGTATGCTGTATAGTAACAGCACTCAACACATGGAAGCATCTTACATGGTCCATTACATATGGAAGACATTTTATCCAACGTAATAGGTGTCCAACAATCCCTGAACATCACACGAGGTAAGTTACAGTCTTTAACCCTAAATTGGTGCTCTGGGCTTTATAGTTAGTGAATGACAGATGTTGATGCCCAAAGCATTTGAGCATTTTGGAATAGTCCAGTGAAGTCAAGACCCTCCTGTATCGGTTGAATTAAAATGCCTCCCACATCATATGGAACTGTGCTACTAGGGATATTTTTTCCAAGGCAGTTGGAAAAAAATCAGTTTAGCTGTTTGACGTGACCATGCTCTTCGTTGGGAATGTTGGTGATCTCCCAGCTCTAACTCAAGAACGTGTGATTGTTTGTTTACAACAGTTTGTAGCAAACAAATTCCCCCAGAAAAAAAATACGCTTGCAGAGCAAACCGTTCCACTGGAAAAGGATTCCATCTTCTAGGAGATGGGCTTTACAGCAGACATTTTAATCCTTAAAAAGAGAAGAGGTCTGTCTTTATCACCAGTCATGCACTGATTCATAAGCAGGCTATTTTAGAATGTCCTTTTGCAAAATTGCTGCACGAGTATGATTCTATTGGTGGCTTATTTCTCAGTATGCACACTGCTGCAGTGTGATGCACAGTATCTATTATGTACCAGCAAGTCTGAGAAAGAGGAAAACTAAGTTATTCTCTGATATTACAAGCATTAAAAGGTTATTTGTGTTGTTCAGTCTTCAAACAGGTTAAAAAAAACCAGAGTTCACGGTGTCATCAAAATAAACAGGTAACAAATTGCCTTACTCGGAAGTGCTTTTGCTTTGAGATTGTTGTGACAATGTGAACAGCATCATCACTAAATAAAATGTTTTAAAGTCAAATACATTTTCTGGGAAATAAGTGTATGTGGGAAGATTTGAAGAGGAGATTCAGCATTCCTCAAGATGAAGATGATGGTGAGGATTTTTTTCAAACATGAGGACATCATTATAAAATTTGAATAACTTCTTTTTCAGGACTATCTGTTCTCCAACTTCTGACAGGATAAATAAGCATATGAAAATCTACTTTAAAAAAAACAAACAAATATCCTTAACTCACAGCATCATTAGTCTGAACATC